AAGGTCCCTTTTAACTCTGTTAATCTCTAATCCCTTCCTTCCTTCCTTCCTTCCTTCCTTCCTTCCTTCCTTCCTTCCTTCCTTCCGCCATTCCTTCACAAGGTCTGATTCTTTGACAAGTTCCTGTTAGCTCTCCGTGTTCATATGTTCAGCATTGGGTTTTTTTCTTTTTGGAAATTGTAATATAATTTTTAGTGGCCTGTTGTTTTACTTTGTACACATTTATGCTGAATTCCAGAGTTCTATTCAATTGTAAATAATGACACCCATTTATCAAAACTCAAACATATTATAATTTATTATGTTATTTAATTCATTGGATAAATCCCATGTTTTTCTATGAGTTCTGTTTGTTTGAAAGTTTGGAAATAGTTATTCAAGAAACATTCCTCCTCTGTGGGTCTAAAGGCATCATTTTTTTTGTACAAAATCTGAGATGAAAATTGATGTAAACAGATCTTTCAAAAATTTCATTGTGTTTATGAGGAAAGTTCAAATGTAGTAAAAATGACTGCTTCAAGAATATATTAATATACTAAATTAGAAATATTCCTCTCTTAATAATTTTAACATTTTCTAGCAGTTTGATACGATATTAAGAATTTTTAATTGAAAGAATATTGTTACATTTTCTTTATCCAATCTATAGTTGTCTCATTGGTGTGTTAGTATTTTTTTATTTCTGTCTTTATCGTTCATAATACATTTGGATTTTGCTTCATTATGGAATTACAGATAAAATAACAAAAGACAGTATAAAGCAATGTTCAAATAATGAATAGATTTTGCTTATATTTTAGTACAGCTGTTATATTTCCTGCTTTAAACATTTGGAAGATGTTTTAACAGAAGTATAATTTTGACCCTCATGGCTTATATCAAGATCCTTACAAGACATTCCTACTTTAGGATCCTGCAGAAACATTTATTTTTGTTACTTTTATGATGGTTTATTGGGCAAGTTAAGTGGCTTGCAAACACAATAAAACTTATAACATACAGCTCATTCCAATTAATAAAATCATACACAATCAGTCCATAAAATAAAGGACGAATGATTACAAGTAGTTTTGATCATAAAACTGGCGAGTATATCTTTTTTTTGGAAGTTATATATGATTTATTCCAGATCAGTTTATTTCCGATCAATTTTTCAAGGCATTGGGAGGAGAAATTTGGATTGCTAAAGATTGCAGAATGATAATATATTAAACTAAAACTTCACTAGATCATCCATGTCATGTTTATCCCAAATGTGATTTTTCCAAAAGCAGCTGGACTTTCTTTGTTCTTTTCCCTTGAAGACGTTTCACTTCTCATCTAAGAAGTTTCTTCCGTTCTGAAGAAGCAGAGAACTGAAGAAGCTTCGTGGATAAGGAGTAAAACATTTTCAAGGAAAAAACCAAAGAAAGCCCAGTTGCCTTTTAAAAAGCACCTTTGAGTTGATTTGGCAATGTAGTCTGGATGTATTAAGAGCATCTAAAACACCACTATTGGATTACGCTTCTATCATTACACAGCTTTAAATAAAATAATAACTAAAAGTTAGAGTTACATGATTATTTGCATGAACTCTAGAATAGGCAATGAGAGTGTAAGGATATGAATGTGCTTCTGAATTATCCCAAAGGTGCTTTTTGTTGTGGCCTGCCAATGGCCAGCAGAGCTGGCAGCAGATTCGGACAGTGAGGAGGTTGGGGAGGAACTTGGGCCAGTCCTGGAGGCTGGGGAAGGGTCTGATGAGGGGCTCTGTGTCGGAGGCAGAGAGGGGGCCCAAGGCCATCTGGTAGTTATTTGCTGCCCCCGGAGCTGATGGAGTCTGACATCAGCAAGGCAGAAGAACAACGGGAGCCTGTTCCCAGTGTGCACGTGCGCAGAGCTGCCAGAAGGCAAGAACAATTCAGAAAGCAGGGTTGACTTGGGAGTAAGGCTTGGAGATGATTGGCCCCTCCTATAGGACATAAAAGAGGAGCGAAGGGGAGGTGAGCTTTTGCAGGAAGCAATTAGTTCATCTGGTCAGTTCAAGCTTTGAAAAGTTCTGTTTGGCTCTGTGCTACGTTGGAACTTGCTCTGTACTTGGCAATTAGGTCTCTGGCAGCCTTCCAAGGGAGATAAGGTCGGTGTTTATCAACATTCCCCTGAAAGACTGCGGCAAAAGAGGGTTTTGGGGAGTAAGATTGTGATTTATGCTTTCTCGGGAAGCCTAGGTCAGAACACTTTTTTCAAGAGGCAACTGGGCTTTCTTGTTTTTCTTTGAAGAGGTTTCACTTCGCATCCAAGAAGCTTCTCCAGCTTAGCTGAGCTGAGCTGAAGAAGCTTCTTGGATGAGAAGCGAAAGGCCTTCAAAGAAGAACAAGAAAGCCTCGTTTCCTTTTGAAAAAGCACCTTTGAGACAACCATGACCTGGATGACTGAGAATCTCCGCAGACCTTTAGCTGTGCTTCTTCTGAATTCCTTTAAGGTAATCCTCATCTTACAACCATTCTTTTAGTGACCGTTTTGAAGTTGCAACAGCACTCAAGAAATGACTTATGACTGGTCCTCCTATTTACGACCGTCACAGCATCCTCACGCCCAAGTGATCAATATCTGGGTGCTTAGCAAAGAGCTTATTATATCCACCCCTGTTTACAAGTGTCCTGTGGACTGCCATGGGCAAACTTTCCCAGCCAGCTTCTGGCAAGCAAAGTCAATGGAGGAAACTGGTTTTACTTAACAAACGGTGGCAAAAAAAAAAAAAAGATTGAAAAAATTGAGCACAACTCACTTTACAACCGCCTTGCTTTGCAGTGGAAACTCTGGTCCCAACCATGGTCATAAGTCGAGGACTACCCCTCTCAAAAATTTGTTACTCACTTTATGAGGAACGAAGGGGGTTTAATCAAGGATGAAAGTAGCAGAGCCGATCACTGTTCAATGTTGGGAAAAAAAATCGATCTGCCCCACTTTTATGAACCTGAATTGCACTTCGTGTTTATTAGAAGCCCCTTCTAAGCAGGAGAAGAGATTCATTTCATTGAATCACAATTCAACATAGGCTAAAATCAGAATTCTCTCACGTGGGTAAATTAAAAAAATGTACTCGATCACTCCCAAGGCCCTTCGTATCCAATATCCTGTACCCCAAAGTCATCGAAAAGATTTTGGAATGTCCACAAGCAGGTCGTTTTAAAAAGAATTTACTATATTACTTTTTATATCTTCCTTTTCCCCTCCAAAGACATTTTACATGGAGTTTCAACTTTTGTGCCATGTGTTTAGCCATGTCAAAGAGGAGAAAACTAAGAGTATTAGTCTAAGTATTAGACTAAACCATCTGAAGAAGGGTTACAGGATTTGTGTTTGGCTAGACTAGAGAAAAGAAGGACTAGGGTGGGACATCATAGCAGTCTTCCAGTGTTAGAGGGGCTGCCACAAAGAAGAAGGGGGTCAACTTATTTACCAAAGTATCAGAAGGAAAGACAATAAACAACAGATGGAAACTAATCAAGGAGAGAAGCAACCTAGAATTAAGGAGAAAATTCCTAACAGTGAGAACAATTAACGTAGTGGCACAGTTTGCCTTCAGAGGTTGTGGGAGCTTCATCCCTGGAAGGTTTTAAGAAAAGGCTGGACAGCCGTCTATCTAAAATGGTTTAGGGTCTCCTGCTTGAACAGGGAGTTGGACTAGAAGACCTCCAAGCTCCCTTCCAATTATTTTCTGATTGATTGATCCTTCTAAATAATGTCTGGATGCTGAAACAAAGGTTTTGGACCTCCATCTTCCTACAGTAGTAGCTAAAAGAGCTTTGGATCAGACCAATATATTAGAAACATATTCTTTTCTTTGTACAGATCTGTTCATTGTTGATGCAAGAATTTCTGTTCATTCTGAATAAGTGGTTTTAAAAGCCTGCAAATAATTAAAATGCCCTTTTCACAACGGGAGTAAAAGCATTGTCTTATCTAAGGCCTGTATCTCTTTGTTGAGCAGATTAGTGGAGAAGCTCAAGAACTTTACTCTATCCGACACGGTCCTGTCCGAGCAGCCCGGGTTCTGCCATCCCCACAGATCTGTAAGTACAGAATCTTGTATATCCATCTTTCTTTTCCTTCCTTCCTTCCTTCCTCCTTCCTTCCTTCCTTCCTTCCTTCCTTCCTTCCTTTCTTTCTTTCTTTCTTTCTTTCTTTCTTTCTCCAAGAAGGAACTGGATTGTTCATGCAATTGCTAAATTATTTTGAGAGCAAGGCTCTTCTTCCCAATTTCTTAGGGAAACTGAGTAGTTTGAGTAGTTTATTTATATGCCGCCCTTTTCCCTGGGGGGACTCAGGGCGGCTTACAATTCGAAGGAGGGGAAAACAAACAAATTAACACATAAGACAGTACATCATTAAAAGCACAACATTCATACAATTCGGGTGGGTTACGGTCTTTAACCCCAGGCCTGACGGGATAGCCAGATTTTAAGGGCTGTGCGGAAGGTCTGGAGGGTGGTGAGGGTACGAATCTCCACGGGGAGATCGTTCCATAGGGTCGGAGCTGAATCCTCTGAACAAAATAAAATGTATTACCATCTATGCCTCTTTCTTCCCAATTCACTTGTAGAATCCTGGTGAACAGGGTATTTATCTGAACGAAGTTGGAAGGGGGGGGAAGATGGTGGGAGCTGCTGTTGGTTGCACCTGTACCCTCTTTTGTAGTATGGAAGTGGTTGGTTTTTCCTCCACCATCAGTCTCGCTCCAAACAACCAACATTTCAACCAACAATACATTATATAAGCAAGCAAGGAAGCAGTATCCTGGTTAGAATGCAGAAGTACGTGGTCAAATATCCCACCATAATATGGTATAATTTGATCACCAGGCACGTTCTATAAGGTCAGGGTGGTCCAATTTGAGCCTAGGCCAGCGTTTCCAATTATATCTTAAAAAGTGCCATGCCAAAACAGGATACAAGGATGGAGGGTTATGGGCACCATGAAAAGATTAACTCAGCCTTGTCTTTTAAAAGTCCCTTGGATTATTTGGAAGAATATACAGGTAACCCTCCACTTACAACAATTCATTTAGTGACCGTTCAATATTACAACAGCACTGAAAGAAGTGACTTACGACTGCTTCCCCACAGTTATGACCTTTGTAGCAGCCCCAGGATCAAAATTCAGATGCTTGGCAACTGGTTCATGCTTACGACCATGGCTGTGTCCCAAGATCACACGATCCCCTTTTGTGAACTTCTGATGATTAAAGCCAGTGGGGACAGCCAGATTCACTCCACAGCGCTGTTACTAACTTATCAACTGCAGGGATTCCCTTAACAGCTGTGGCAGGAAAGGTCGTAAAATGTGGCAAAACTCACTTAACAAATATCTCACTGAACAACAACAGAAATGTTGGGCTCAATTATTGGTGAGGACTACCTGTAGTGTTGAGAGCATAATCATTGTTTAGTCCTAGAGTTTGCAGTGCTTAGTATGTGTGGGTGTGTGTGAGAGAGAGAGAGGGAAGGAGGGAGGGAGAGGGGGGGAGAGAGATCAATGTTATGCATCATGAAGATGGGTTTCTGTTGTGGCTCGGCAGGAGCCTTTGGAGCTGCTATCAGACTCTGACAGCGAGGGGCCCTATGAGTCAGGCCTGGAGGAGGCGGAGGGCCCTGGACAGGGTTCTGACTCCGAGCCGGGCTCAGAGAGACTCCCCAGGTAATGACTGAGCCTTGGATCAGTGAGAGAGGCTGACACAGAAACCTCCTGTGAGTTGTTTCAGGATGCAGGAGAAGGGCTGACCATGTAAGGAACAATTGAGGACTCACAGGAGATGATAACGGGCAGCTGTTGCTTGTTAGGATCTCCTCCTGCTGATAAAAGAGACTGATGGTGCCACGCCCTGGTTGCAGAAGTCAACGTTCCGTTTCTGTTCTAGTCAACGTTCTCCGTTCGTGTGCAACCATAGAGAAAAGCACTTGGATAAGTGACTTGATTTATATAATCCTGTTTTGTAGCAGTTTATGAGTGAGGACTTTTGCCAGAGCATTTATCTGTGTTTATTTTGGGGCTCGCAGCCAGCAAGAGCCGGGACTGATAAAAACATTCCTTTGAACATTCTGTTTGGCTTTCGTTTTTGAAGGGACAAGGTGTGGGGGTCAGAACAGGTTTCTAGGAATTGATGCGCGCCACTCAGCATAGTCTTGGTGAATGAAAGTCTCTTCGGAACTTATTTACTGAGTTAGAGAAAGTACAGCTTTTGCTACCCTGATGTCCTGCCTCTTCAGTTGAATGGCAAAATGCGCTCTCCAGCAAGCGAGGCGTTGCAGAGTTCGTCTGAACTTGACTGACAGAGACCCTCCGGGTAGTAGCCCTTCCAAACAGCGAGTGTGGACGGAAACCTCGTTTGCGATTCTGAATTTAATTCCGGGCTATGCAGAATTTTGCATTGCTCTGCGAGTGCCTTTAAAAAAAGAAAAGAAAAAAAAAAGAAGGCAGCGGCCTGAAGGGCTGACTTAGCATGTTTCTGTGTTAAATAAAGGAATAATAATTATTTAGGTTGATCTGTAAAGGAAGGCAGATGTTCGAAACGCCTGCATGCGGTCAAGCATCTTGGGTGGCTGTGTGGTTTTCCATCCTCTTAATACAAAAGTAATTCTTCAGCAGATGTATTACACAAACTCCGCTTGGTAGGTGACCCAGTGTCAGTAGCTTTTAGCAGCCTGAGAGGGATCTAGGCGGATCTTGGCTTATTAAACGCTACCATTTAAGTGATGGATTTCTGGTTAGATTGGGTTAAAATGAAAGCTGTCCTGTGCAGGCCTTCAAAAGAAATTATAGGGCCTAATTTTCATGATTCAAACCGTTTTCGGCTATATATGAAAGCGGGTGAAAGTCCTAATGAAATCCACGTTCAGCACTGGCCTTCTTTACGGTTGAACATTTTTTAATTTATTGCTAAATATATAATCGGCTGTACCCATCAGAATGTTTTCCTTTTCTGCTTACCGACTTTAGGACTGAATATGGAAACTTTTTGTTAAGGCTGAAAAATTTATGGACTCGGGCAGAAGTGGTTCTCTGCTTAAAAAGGGATACAACAGCCCCTTATGCCAGCGAAAAGCGGGGGGGGGGAGCTTGTTTCTCCAGTGGATTTGGAAGGAAGCCATTTGGTTTTGTTTGGTAATAGATTTAGCACAAAGGCAAGCAATGCGTCACACAAAGTGTAATTTAGTGCAGGAAGACATGGACATTGTCCGTTGCGTTTCAGCTGCATTCAATTTTCTCTCTTAGAGGAGCCAGTGTTGATGTGAAGATCAACTCTGGCTCCTGTGTGGTGTGTGTGGTGGTTGAAAACCAGTGCTTTCCTTTATTATGTACAGGTAGCCCTTGACATTTGTGTTGCTAAGCGAGTGGTTAAGTGAGTGTGCGATCTTTCTTGCCACAGTTGCTAAGTGAATCACTGCCGTTATTAATTAGGAACACGGTCGTTAAGTGAATCTAGCTCCCCCTTGGACTTTGCCTGTCAGGACTGGTCACCAAGGACACTGCAACCGCCATAAATATGAGCCAGTTGCCAAGTGGCTGAAGGTCACAAAAAAGTGATCACATGACCCTGAGACATTGCAACCGTCATAAATACCTGCCAGTTGCCAAACAGCTGGATTTTGGTCACGTGACCACGGGGATGCTGCAGCGGTCGTTAAGTATCAATGGTCATTTTGCTTTTTCAATGCTGTTGCAACTTGGAGTGGTCGCTAAAAAATGGTTATAAATCGAGGACTAGCTACATTATAAGAACCTTAATCTGAAAATACTAAAGTTTATGTTGTCTAAATAGGGAGTGGTGCAATTTGCAAAGTAGCCAACTGGCCTTATATAGTTGGAAAAAAAGGGGGGCAATGTATTTATTCAGTGTATTATTATTTCCCCATCTCCAATATGACTAACATTTCTGCAATTCCTTAATTTATCCTTTATCTGTTTGATTGTCAGCGTTCCAAATATCTCCAGAATTAAATCAGAGTTCAAGGCAGAGCTTTCCTCAAAGTTCCAATTTATTAAGAGAGACATGTTGGTACATCTGTGGAAAACCCGAATCTGAAAGCTTCCTGGGTTTCCCACCCAGTTGAAAGTTCATCCTCTTGCCCCACACCCACAGGTCCATCACATGGTCCAATCTGAGTGTATGGGAGTTGCTTGGAATTGAATGAATGGCCCACTTTT